GTGCCCGCGGAGCAGCTGTGGGCGGGAGGGAGGAGCGCCCAGGAGTGCTGGTTTCCCTTCCGCCCACTTCAGAGCCTGGCGACTGGCACTTCCTCACCGTCACGCTGGGCTTGGTGGGAGCAGGTTCCTAGCTCCGGGCTGCACAGCCAGAGGTGAACACACACCRCCGGCTCTGCCCAGGGCGCTGCGGGACTGGTGGCCTTCTGTYCTAGCAGCTGTTTTTCAGGCCGAGTCTTTTTTTTCATGTGACAGCCCAGGTCCGCCACAGATGTGCACCAGGGGAGGGCAGATGGGGGCCGCGCTGGGTTCTGGTCCTGCATAAGCTCTGTTTGTATTTCTGGCAGCTTTGATTTCATCCCGTGGCTTGGAGGGAAGGGGGTGGCTCTATCAAGAAGTGAGCTGCCACAGTCAGAGTGGGCYGGGTGGGGACTGGAGGGACCGGCTCTGGCCTATGTGTCCCGAGAGCCCGGGAGGTGCAGATTTCAGACAGGAGGCTCTGATGGCTGACAGGGATTGGGGACAAGACAGCCAGCCCATGGGAGAGCCAGAGGCTCCATCAGGCCACCTTCATGGGCTGACTGCTTGCTTCCCTCCTCTGGTGACCTGTGGCTAGCACTGAGTCAAGGAAGGTATTTCGGTAAACCAACCGTTGAGTTGAATGAACATTCCAGCATTTTTATCTCCAGTGAACATTGAGCTTCAGAGTCACCTGCAGGGCCAGTGTCTCCTGAGCAGCTGTGACTGTCTCTTGGAAGTGTACAGAGCTGGTGGGAGTCCTTGGGTCATGGTCTTTCTCAAGGTCCTTTGTGCCCCTGGTGGTTTGCTCAGAATCTCCCTGGTCAGTAGAGATGGACACCAAGCCCACAGCCCACGTGCCAGGCAGAGTGCACGCCTGTTTGGCCGAGTGTGTTCTCTGTTGACAATAAATGCCTGTTTCTTCAAAGTCCCACGTTCCAGTCTCTGGACATCAAGAAATCCCGTCTCTGTTCTGAGTGGGATATTAATCCATAGTTTAGGGCATGTCCGTTAATCTGAAGTCCAGTCTTGACCACGGACAGTGCAGCGGGTGCCTGCCTTTGAATTTTATTTGGTGTCCACTGCACTGGAAACGCCAGCAGCAGGGGACGGACCCTAAGTGGTGGCTTTCACCAACCCTGCTCCAGACTTTGCCCCTGTGAGCACTCCYGGCCTGCACGCCCAGGTCCTTGGTATCTGGCACCCTGCAGTCAGGACACTGGGTAAAAGAGTGGCAGTGTCAGAGGTGACTTCAGCTCCTTTGAACACCTGCTATTCGTACCTGTGTTGGAGCCGCTGGGCTCTGAGAAGTCAGAGGCTTAGCATGACTGACGTGGAGCTCGTTATGAATTGACRGTCTTGTTTTTTATTTTCCTGCCCTGGTTGGCAGCGCTACAGAAAGCCCTTTGCGAAAGCCCCAGCCTGATTTCACTATCAACCACTTAACCACGATATTAATTTTTTCAATTGCTGAGCTTTTAAGATCTTAAATTACGTTATGATTTGGGAAAATAGTTCTGTGGCTGAACCCGAACACTTTAACCAAGTCCGTGCATCTTTGAGTCACCAAGGCCCTTGGCATTGGAAACGCCCGCCCCTCACCCCACCCCTCACCCCGCCAGTGTAGGAAAGTGGATTGATTTTGCCTCCTGCTATTTTGCCATAGGAAATGATGCTACCAGACTTTTCACGATTTCAGAAAAAAATCATTTTTTGTTTAGGTGAAAATTCAGTTGACATGACATTCTCACCAGAGCTGCCCGAATCTCACGCTGTGCATCTTGTTGGTAGCTGTAGTTACAGGTCAGGAGGAAGGGAACCGGGGCCTGGAAGTTCCTGGGCTCAGGCTGGGGCTCTCGGTCGGCACTGGGGCTGCAGGTTATGGCTGATGAGCTTACGGTACGAGCACTTGACATTTTATGTGGTTTTTGTTTTGAAGGCTCAGTGCCAGGTTTATGGAGCCAAGTGTTTTTTTTTTTGAGAAACTCCCTGTTCTGGGGGTGAAAACRCACCTCAGCAGAATTTCCCCTTTGCAATTTGTATGTATGGGTAAAATCGCTTTCTGAGTTAAAAATGCAACTTCCAACTTAGCGTTAAGAGCTTGAGTTTCAGATAAAGGGCCATTTTTTGGACCGTAGGTAGAGGAGTAGGAAGCCGTGAACACACTCGGATTGTAGTTCAAATGTGCTTGGTATCCCACCGTGTCATCTGGGCACCAGAAGATGTGGGCCATTGTGATTTTAGTAAAAGGATTAGGGGTGCAGCTCAGTGGCRGAGTGCTTACCAGYGCTGATCCTAGGGTCAGTCCACAGTACTAAAAAAGATGATAGGTGCTATGTTAGAGTAACCCAGACAGATACGTTCCCTCTACAGATTGTYATTTACGTTGTGAATTTCTACCTAACCTTTTTAAAATCACACCCCAGTATGCTTGATGGCTCACTTACTAAACCATAGGTATTGCCAGAAACTGTGCTAAGCCTGGAGTAAACCTTCATCTTTGGTTAGTACTACTTTCCTGCTCTTAAATGCTCTTAGAAGACTCAAATCAGGGGCCCCAGGGTGCCCCCATCATTTCTCACCCTTTGTGAAGTATTTTCAGGGGCTGCGCCCTTGCCCTCCGGGTCTCAGCGCCAGACCCAGACCTCCAGGATCTGTTTACATCTGTGTTTATTTGAGCTGAGGAACGACAGCAAGTAAACTTTCCTTTCTGTGGAAGAGACAAGCCATTTGCTTATCTCTTTCTCCCAAAAAGTAGCAGAGCACTTATCTTTAAGATAATCAAGTTGAGTTTGGCCCTTGGGGAGCCGTAGTTGGCTGCAGGGTTGGCTGCAGGCTTGGTTAATTTGCTCGTGTGCAGCTTGATAAGCACTTCTGACACACAGGCCCTCTGGTGCTTTGAGTTGCCAGCCAGGTGTGATCCTGCAGCCTCTGAACCTCACCTAGGGCTTAGGTAGAACTGAGTCGCCTGTCTGCAGGTCGGGAAGTCAAAGGGGAGGTTGCTTTGCTTTGCGTTAAAAGAACTCTAAAGTACAAATGCCCTCGTCCAGAGGTGCCTGGCAGCTAGCTGAAACAGTGTTTAACTCTGGAGCAGGGCTTGGCCTCCTCTGTCCCTGTACCCAATAACGATTGCAGCACATGGACACTGGGTGTCACCAATCTCTCCATGTAGTAAACACCGAGTAGCATTTTTATGCTTCACAACTTTGTGCTATGTGCGAATATTKCACTGTATGACGATTGGTGTTTGTTTGACTCCAGGGTAGAAGAGGCTTGGCTCTGGGTCTGCTTGCCAATGTCCCCAGAGCCAAGGAGGTGGCGGGCTGCAGAGGCTCAGTGTCAGCACTGCCCTTCCCAGATGCTGATGGGATGGGAAGCTGAGTAGTGCTGGGGTGTAGGCATCAACCCTTGAAGGGCTGACCCCCAGGGAACGGCAGGACCTGCAGCCTCTTTACCCAGTAGCATGGCCACTCTCAAGTTCATCCTTTGCCAGTTGAGTTGTTTTAAAATTTCATTTAATGGACTTTATAGATAAACCTGGGAACATCTGTGTGAATAAGCGCTAAGTACTCTTGCATAGCTGGATGTGGGTGGCAGGGCCATACCGCACCTGTCCTGTGCCCCACGGCCTGGGCCTTGGCATTCCCTGTCAGGGCTTCCTTAACAGCATCCTCTGGCTTGCCCAAGAGTGCAGATGGCTGTGGGCTGGGCTCTGTGACCTGCGCATAGAGGGCCTGCCTCTCCTAGGCCTCATCTCTGTGGGATCGTGAGTCAGTGCACACAGCTGGGCTCTGGGACAGGTCATAGGGTAAGGATTTTAAGAACTGGAAAAACTTAGGGCTTTTCTGTGCTTCTGTAGGATCTGGGAATCAGTATCAGTTTTGTGGACCTTCTACCAAAACGCAGAGCCCAAAGCCGTGTTACYGTGAAACCCAAGGTCATCGACACTGCATGCCTCTCATTGCTTTGGAGTGCAGTGTGCTTCTTTTCAGGGACAGAGTTGGCTGTGGGCTGCAGGTGGCCTCCTGGAGCCTTCTCTCTGAGCAGGCACAAGGAAACCACCTTCCGCAGGCATGGCTGGTCCTGGGGCGGCTCACGTTTCTGCTCTTGCCTTTGGCTGCTGGTGGCTTGATGGTTACGTTAGGCAGCAGATGAATGTGCTGGGTGTGAATGTTAGTGACATCTTAATGAAAGGGCCACCCRCCCTCTGCTTTCTCCTTTCAGAAAGCCTTTGCTCCTGGACCAAAACATTCCCTCCCCCGCGCGGTGTTTGCACACCCGGACCMACTTTATTGGCTGCATCAGTGTAGAGACGGGACCAAGGAGCTTTCCTTTGGCCCTGGGTGGTACAGTAGAGGACTGGCTGCTGTGTCACCAACCTCCCTCCAGACAGCCAGCCCACCAGTTCCGGTGTCCTCTTGGTTTGCTTTGGAAGAGACAGCCCTTGCAGCTCAGTTCTCAGGTGGTGGCTGACACATTCCTGGGAGTTTTACCTTAAGATCAAAACCGTCATCTTACTGATATGCTGATTTTATATTGTAGTTTGTTTTCAGGGTATTTATTTTTATATACTTAGAAGTGTGTGTGTGTGTGTGTGTGTGTGTCTGAGTATGTGTGTAATTTTACTTATTTATTTTTTTTTTGCAGTGGGGAGGGAACCTGGGTCCTCTAGCAACCTGGGTGAGGCTGCCCCTCGCTGTGCCCCCAGTGTGATTTCTTTGGTGTTCATGAATCCTCTTGCAATGAAGACTGCATGCATGAGCCTGGATGTTTTTAATTGCTGCAAATCTGAATTTCCAGTTGTACGACAGGAATTTATTCTGCATTTCTTATGCCTTGGCCAAAACCACAGCAGACTTGTCGCTGTGATCCGGAATGCGTGTTGTAGCTCTGGAGAGTCCAGAGCCTCGGAGTGTACGGAGTGGGCTTGCATCCTGGGGACGAGGACCGCGCACGGTGTAACTCTGTTCTGTTTGTCCCCGCAGCTTCCATGCGGGAGTCTCAGGCAGAACCTGCAGACATGCGCCCGGAGATCTGGATTGCACAGGAGCTGCGGCGAATCGGAGATGAGTTTAACCTGTATTACCCACGGAGGGTAAGGTCGCCGTCCCGTCCTGTCCTGTCCCTGCCCTGCGTGCAAAGACCGAGTGGGACAGGAGCCCCGCTGACTCTGGAAGTGGAGGCCCTGCCACGTCTTGCCTGCTCCCCTTTCCCGCTTGCCATGGCTCTAGGCTGAACTCGGTGATGGCCACACATAAGACAGATGTGGGCTGCAGGGGTGTTAGGAGCAGAGACCGACAACCCCGAGCTGAGGGTCATGAGCTCCRGGGCCCAGTTACCGGGGGAGCGAGCTGCCAGCCCACATGCCAAGCTGCTGCACTCCCTCTGCAGCTTGGGTCGAAGTTGAGCTCAGTTGGCACCACGGTGCTTGGTCCTGGGGAACAGCGCCAGCACCCATCGAAGACTCCCGTGACCTGTAACTGCCTACGTCACAGCAGGAAGCGTTGTCCTCTCTACCCCTGTTGCTGTCCTTGCACTTTGTTTTTATTTATTTTTTTTATGGGCACTGAGAATCGAACCCAGGGGTACTTAACCACTGAGCCACATCCCCAACCCTTTTTATTTTTTAAGACGGTCTCCATAAGCTGAGGCTGGACTCGACCTTGTGATCCCCCTGCCTCAGCTTCCAAAGTTGCTGGGATCACAGGCGTCCGCCACCGGCTTGTTTGTTGAAATATATCGAGAAGCCATTAATCAGTGGCCCAAGTTACAGAAAAACTGGACTGYGTATCTTCCGTAGAAGCAGTGTGTCCTTAAAGTAGTTTTAGTCTGCCTCTGATGTGTTCTCTGAAGGCATTTTGGTGCTGCTGTGTTCGTCTGGACCACAGTGTACGCAGGCGGTCCTCATGCTGAGGAGGGGAGGACGGGGTCCCTTCCGGAGAGTAGCTGGATACCCCCCAGTCCTGACTCTGGGCTTGTGTTAGGTCGTTTCTGATGGGCATGAGTCACCTCTGTGCCCAAGTAATGAACCAGCCTCATGCGTGTCTGTCCCCCTCCCCCATCTCATAGAGGCTTGCAAATGCTCTCAGGGCCGCATCTGACCTTGGTGTGGCTGCTGAGGACAAGGCGCTGGCCCTGGTGCCCTGGGAGGCCTCGCTGTGCTGGGGCTCTGCACAGCCACAGCCAGCGTGGCTCCCATTCCTGTGGCTGGATGGGGGCTTGGGGACCAGGGTGTTCAGGAGGGTTCGTGAAGGTGTCTCTTAAACTTGGGGCACAGAAGCCAGCCTCTGCAGGGCACCGTGAGGGTCTATAATGAGACGCAGGGCCAGGTGGGGCCTCAGAGTGCCACCATGGCCATCCCCTGCAAAAGCTGTTGGAGGTGAGTCATGGGCTCATGTGCAAATGAGGCAGGCTGTGGGGTCATCCTTGTCACACTGGCACCACGGAGGCGGCAGCAGCACCTGCCATGGGTACCACCTCCCCTCCCAGGGCCCTTCATTCTGATGGGCCAGTGTGTTAAAGGGGCTGTGTCTCCTGATAGGTGCCCTGTTGTCCTCCTGCTTGTCATAAAGTGACTTTACAGTGGGTGTGTCACACTACTTGTAGGATTTTGTCACCCTGCACTTATTTTGCACATCTTAATTACCCCATGCCATGAAGCCGTKGCTGAGAAAGGACTCTCACTGCGCTGGGATGTCGGGTAGAGTAGGGATAGCTTCCTGGATTGCAATCTAACTTTTTTTTAAAGAAGGGCTAGTACGTTCTCCAGATTTTATGAATAGCCAGTTCAAAACACCAGCCTCCAAAGCTGCACAGTGACACAGTGGCCCCGGGCCACAGCTGGCCGCAGTGGTAGYTGTCAGACTAAGACAGCCATTGTCTGCCATTGCCCAGTGGGCCGTCGTTGAAGGCCTGCCAGACGTGGGGGGAAGCCAGAGGGGCTTTCCCCGCCATCCCCACTGGGGTGCCCTGGCCTCTTGGCCGGCTGCTGCCCGTGGCTTTCCCGCTGGCCTTGGGCTCCTTGAGCACCTGGGTCTGTCTGGCTCGGTGCCCTGTGTGCCCTTTCTCAGGCCTTGGTCCCGGTGCAGGGCCTGGCTTGAGCCAGCGTCCATCCGACCTCTCCTGTTGGAGAGGTGCAGGGGTGGTCCTGGGGCGAGTGGGGACGGAGACGCAGCTGTGAAGCGGAACCCTGCAGGTGAGGCCGGGCACAGGGCAGCCTGCACCCAGCACCCGACCCTTCCCTCGGACCTCCACAACACGGGGATTTGGGGCAACTAGAAAGGGCTGGGGATGTGGTTGAGTGGTTAAGTGCCCCCGGGTTCAATCCCTGGTACCAAAAGAAAAGGGGAAACAGAGCCCTGGGGGTCTGCCATCGTGRAGCCAGGAAGAGCCCTTGGTCTGGTGGCCTGGATGTCCTCCCTCTCGATTCCCGAGCACACTGTTCCCTGGGTGATGCTGCTGCCCCCATTCCTTGTTCCTGAGCACGTTTCCTCAGAGTTGAAGCACTCTCCATGGAGCATGGTGTGGCCGTGGTCAGGAGGAGCTCCTGTTCAGTGCTGGACTGTGAACTGGTCAGGTGTCCTGACAAGGACGTCGTTTTAGCCTTGCCTCCCCGCCCCCAGATCACAGGATATTCTGCAGTCCTGGATCTGTTCGAGGATGGTGCATTGGATTTCTGTGTCAGCCCCTGGCTTCGTTCGTTTAGGTCCTCCTCAGTCTCTCGTGACAGTGACGTATCAGAAGGGTCGGCAGTTCTGGTTCACAGATCCCTGCATCTGGCTTGCCTGGCATGTCCACGCCGTGAGGCTTGGTTTCGCGTTTCTGAGGAAGCCCTGTGGGTCRTCCCTGTGCTGCTCTGGGGTGGATGCCGTGGGTCTGAGGGTGTCTTCTGCTACGGTGCGAGGACTTTCACYAACAGGAGCAGAGACCATGGAAAGGGACAGACCTTGGCTCTCCCTTGTTTTTGTTTAGTTTGTGTCTTGATGGGTGGCTTCTGGTTGTACCCGGTGGGTTTTACGCCTGAAGCTCGCCTTCTTGGTGTCTGGGCCGAGGCAGCAGTCTGGGGCCTTGGTGGCCATGCTGTGTGGCACAGCCTGAGCCCTGGGGAGGCCATGGGGCTCCTGACAGGCACCCGACACGCAGCGAGCTGCCCCCACGTGGTGTGCGACCGCCCGCTCCCAGGGAGGCAGGCACTGGGGACTCACAGGGGCCAACCAGGACTGTGGAGAAGCCAGGGACACAGGGCTGTCCCTGGGCCTAAGGGAAGAGACATCTAGAGGAGCCGGCTGCATTTTGGAATTTGTGGGGATGCAAGTGTCTTGCCCTTCGCAGAGTGGTGCCGTGGACGGCATGTCCGCAGCCTGCGCCTCGCCCTCTCTGGCCTCCTCAGCCTCCTTGCCCGTGGGTGGAGCATCACACAAGACTGGTCCTGCTGTCCTCCAACAGCCTTCCCTGGCTCCTCCCTTGGCCAGAACCTGTGAGCCTGGGGCCAGCTCACCTGCAGGACGTGGTCCTCTAGAGTTGTGTCCACTTGATGGGTATCTCAGCTGTGGGCTGAGGCTGCAGTCCAAGGGTGTCGAGGGGTRCTGGGCCCCGCAGACATGAAGGTCTGTTCTTGAAGTCACTGGACCAGACTGCACCCAGCCTTGCCACCCCTCCCAGCGCTGAAGCTGGCTCTGTGTTCCCTGGGGCTGATTCCCCCCAGGGCTGGGGATTGAGCCAGGGGCACTTAACCACTGAGCCCCAGCCCCAGCCCTTTGCCTTTTTTATTAACAAGTCTCCCCCATTGCTTAAGGCCTCATTAATTGCTGAGGCTGGCTTTGAACTTTATATCCTCCTGCCTCAGCCTCCCCAGCTGCTGGGATCACAGGTGTGCAGCACCGGGCCTGGCTCCCCTGTGACTTTGTCTGTGCCTCACATTCATTTTGTCCAGCTAGAGTCCCTGTGCAGGGAGACTGCTGTCAGCAGTGACTTGGGGACAGTGGGCTGCAGTGGACACCTGTGACRATGGCTTCCATAGAGGGGTGGGGAGCAGAGGCCCTTGGGGTCTGACCACGGCAGTGCTGTGTGTGGCTCTCACTGCCTATGCCCCGTCTGGGCCTGTGCCTGTGGGGATCGGCTGGAGCACAAGAGGACCGGAGTGTGGCCCTGAACGGGGGGAGGGGGGTGGCCCGCCAGTGGGTTTGAGTGAGCAAGTCTGACTGCCATGTTCSTGCCTTGGCCCCCTGTGATGGTGTGAGCCTGCCATCGAGGGTCACTCACCTTCAAAGAAGTAAGATGCTGTGTGCTGTCTCCCGCCTTTGGAAATCCGTGGCTCTGAAGATCAGGTGCAGGAAGAGGCCCTCAGTGGCCTGCGCAGTGAGTCACACACTGCACAGACCAGAGGTGTGTGTCCTGGGCAGCGTGCTTTGGAGGCCTTCTACGGAACACTGGGGATTGATAAAAGGGGTGCTTTCTGTTGCTGTCTGCGGAAGCAGGACGTATGGTCCCCACGTGAGCTCTGACACRCAGACTCCACCTGGCTGGAAGCAGAGACGGCTGCTCTCTCCAGTGTGYGTCTGCGGTTCCTGGCAGAGGCTGCCCCTTACCTGTGACGCAGCACCAGGGTTGGCAGTGCCGTGCCAAGAAGGTGACGAGCACTTAACTTAGTTTCCCTGAGACATTGAAGAACTGTTCAGGTACTCAGCACAGGTCCTTCCCTGCCTTGCTGAACACAGGCTTTCTGTGACTTGGGGACAGGGCACTCGGAGAACCCCCTCCTGGAGAAGCTCAGGCTCAGGGGTCGGATCTTAAGCCTGGCACGCCCCTTCCCTGAAGGAGGCCTGGGTGTGCATCATGCAGAAGGTTCAAGGGGGACATTTAGAGATAGAGCATCCCTTGTCGTCACTGCCATTCACTCTGACACCTCTTGGGTGGCCTCCACCTGCCTCTGCTCTGCACCTGCTCTGGCAGCAGGTGGGTGCTCGGCCCTGCTGCATGGCCATGCCTGCTGTGGGCAGATGTGAGGAGATGGGTCCCGGGGTGTGTAAAGGGCACCCGGACGTCACTAGTAAGTGCTTCGTAGCACCACGCTGTGTGCCTGGTCCCCTCAGCCAGGCAGGTGCTGCACCTGCAGGGCGCCTGACACTGGGGACCTCAGGCTGAGCATGACCATGCAGAGATGCAGGTGCTGGAGGAGCTGGAGGGAGTCTCCCTGGGGTTATTTTTTAATCTCTGGAGGAGGAAATGAAGATACACAGCAAGGCTTGGCRCCTCTGCAGAAGCATCTTGCGCGTCTCCTCGTCCTGAGCCCAGAGGCCCGGCTAGGTCAGCGTGTGCTGCGTCTTGCTTGGCATTTCTCTGAGGCTGGGCCTTCAGGATGGTGCATTTATGCTCTGAATTGAATGTCTCACCCACTGGAGCCTCACAGCCGGCCGTGAGAATTGGCTCTGGCTCTCTGTGCTGCAGAGCTGGTGGTGGTGGCTCGTCCAATCTGGCCAGCGCTGGCCCTGGGGGCTCCCGTAAGCTGATACCACTGAGTAAGAAAAAGGCCTTGCCGCCCAAAGAGCGTCCAGCACGGGCAGCCCCAGGCTGAGCTGCAGAAAGGCCGCAGCCAGAGGAGTTTCTTTAAATGATGATCAGAAGGAGAATTAGAGTTGGTTCACAGACAGTGTTTCCAGTCTGTGGCACCACCTGGGGCCCCCGCCTCCCCCGCAGGGCTGCTGCCTCAGCTGTTGGGCACCAGCTATGTAAATGCCCGTTTCCTTGGTGACAGATGGTGAGTTTGGTCTTCGCATACATTGTGGCAGCAGCCCTGAAACCAGAGATGGCGTGGGACCAGGGTTCTCGGCCTGAAAATGCAGAGAAGGCCCTCGGGTTGCTCCTCACACGCTAGCCCTTTTCTCCTGGGTCAAGTACTGACAGTTGGGTGATGGGAAGGCAGAGGGACCGTGGTGCCGCTGTGCCCTGGAAGGTGCTGTTGAAGGCCCCACGTTCTCAGGCTCCTGGACGCTCATCCTCAGTCTGGAGGTCAGACACCATTAAGTTCCTCMTGGTCTCACAGTCCAAACCCAGTCCCCTATAACATGTAGACTTTTCAAGATAAATACATTAAAAAAAAAAACAAACAAACAGTATGTTCAGGACATTGTAGACATTCAGTCTTGAAATTGCATATGAAGCAAGTTTTGAATGGGTTAGTTTCAACGATGAAAAGACTGTCAGGTTTCCCTTGTTCCTTTGACTGCCAGGAAACTCATACCTAGGCTCAGGCTCTGGTACCACAAACCTTGCTCTGGTTCTTGGGGTAAGTCTCCCCTTCCTGATGTCATTTCTGATCTCTTAAACTTCATTTTCATTTCACTGTGCACATCTGTGTCTGTTTTACCGTCATCCCCCCAAGCCTGCTGAGTGTACGTGTCTGTTGCACTTTCTGAGTGTCTGGCCCAGTGGGTTTTGGCCCTGCCGTTGGAGCACAGCCTGGTGGCTTGGTCCTGCCGAGGTCTGAGTCACTTGGTGGGCTTCCATCCTCACTCAGGCACTGGCYGAGGCCTCCTTTAAACTAAGGCGAGGCTTCCTCCAGCTCTGAGGAGCGGCCACCCTCCCCCAAACCAGTGTGGCCAGAGGGGCTGGCTGGCCCCAGGGTCACCCTGCACTCTTTTCCTGGCCTGGGCCTGCCAGCATCCTTGTTCTCCATCGTGGGAGCTGGCTGTGGTCCTAGGTGGCGTGTGCCATGGCAGGAGAGAGGGCTCCAGGCACCTGTCCTGTCCTGTCCTGCTCTGACACCTCCAGCCACTTGTAGCATGGGGAGTGCTACTCACCTCGTAGGACTGTTTTGAAGACTCATTTCCTTCAGTGATGGCAGTGAACCATTCTTCTGACCCCAGACCGGGTACACAGTCTGCAGGACTGGCGTGTGGGCAGCTCTTGGACGAGGAGGTGTAGCTGGATGCCGTGGTACTGCTCGGGTGCAGCTGGAGGATGGCTCGGGGCAGGGTCTGCAGCCATGCCGACTGCCCTGGGCATCCCTGGGCGCAGTGCTCCCCTGCTGGCCAGAAGAGCTGGCAGCCCTGCCCCAGCCTTCCCCCCTCATTATGAGAAGCCAATACTGTTCCTCGTGCCCTGTTGCTCGCCCTGTCCACCTGGTCTCTGTCCTGGCTGCCCTGCCGTCCTGGCCAGTGTCTCTGTCATCTCATTTACCCCCATGATGTCCTGGGGTGGCTTCCTGTTTGTTATCTCGTGCTAACGGGGGCCATGGTCAGGCCTGCAGGTMCCCTCACAGGACCTGGGGAACTGGCTTGACACTCCTTGCTACGAGAGGAAGCTCAACGTGTGCTGGGCACTCAGATGCCTCCTGAGAGCCATGCAAGAGGCTGGCATGGACCCAGCCCAGGGAGGGGATCTAGCCCTGCCACTCTCTCTCGGTGCATCTGTTGCCCTCCAGCCCTGCGCCACGCACCAGAAGCCATCGCTCCACAGGTCGCAGGGCAGATCCCACCGCCATGTTGGCTTTTAACTGGTGGCCTTGGCAGGCCCTGCCCCTAGGCACATTCCAGCCCGGGGGTGTTGCTTTGGCCAGAACCAGGGGTGCACATGCCTTAGCCTCCTGCCAGTGCGGTCCACCTCGGGTTGGTCCATGGCTTTGAACTCCTCGCCCTCCAACACCCAGACCAAGGCTCAGCCGCAGCTGCAGGAGCTCACACAGGTGTGCGGGTTTGAGCTGGCTGCCATGGCTGGCCCCGTGCAGGACTTGGAGCAGTTGGGACCTGGTTCTCGTCCTCACCCGCTGCAGCTCCCTTTCCCTGRCCCTGAGCCAGTCGTGGGCCACACCCTGGGCCAGCAGCCACTTGAGCGCTGTGCCAGCTGTCGGGGGCCACTGGGCTGGCACCACCGTGAGTCAGTGCTCATGGCTTCTTCCATTGAACATCAYCCAGGAGCGATTGCTCACTTGTGGAAGTGTGTGCCATGAGTCATGCCCACCACCTCAGAGGGCAGGAGGAGTGGCTGCCGCATGGCCTCGCTGGTCAGGGACCTGGGCCTTCCTGTCACCAAAATGCYCCCCACACATACACCTTGGCTCTCCCCACCTGTGTCCAAATAGCCCTTGATGTGACTCCTTACCCAAGGTCACAGCCACCATCCTTCACCTGTCCTCAAATACCGCCAGGACTGGGACCTGGAGCCTGCCAGTGTAAACAGGCCTGTCCCGTGGGTGGCCCTTTGGTGTCATTTTGACCATGGACACCCATCAGCCCATCCTCTGGTCACTCTGAAGACAGAGTGGCCCCAGGTAGGCCTGAGGCTCCCTCCGGGGCCGATGGCCCAGCCTGTCAGCACGCCTGCTTCCCGTCAGCGAGTTGCGGTTTTATTTTGAATAAGCCTCTTTCAACCCATTAATATTAGTCTGCACCAAAATTAACCTTCCCCTAAATTATTCTCACACAGAAGGAGCAAAGTAATTTTGAAAGTTAAATCAAAACAAAGCAATCTGTGTGTACAGTGATAAAAATCGCAGACTGTGGTTACGGAGCCGTCTGCAGGCCTCCTGACAGGGCTGGTTTCCTCCGTCTTGTTATGGAAGGAAGCGGGAAATGCCCTGGCTTATCGAAGGCTGTGGTGCGCGGGCACCTGCAGCTGGGGTCCTGAGCGGGCCATCGGCTTAGCCTGGCTCTTGGCCGGTGGCTCCCAGGACAGAACCCTGGAAGCAAATTTCTGGGGCTGTGGGGCCAGTGGGGTCTGCTAAGATTGGTCACTAGGAAGGGCAGGGCCACTTTCTGACTTGGATGTGAACCAGGATGCCCCTCCTGGTGTCAACTTGGGCTGCCGTGTGTCAGCCCCTCGTGGTCACCTGTAAAGAGATGGACCTGGAGTGGGCACTCTGAAGACCTGAGTGAGCCTCTGAGGCTAGAAGTGATCTGCAGTGTCCTCTGCAAGTGGCCTTTCTTCTGTCCTCACTTGGTCTTTGCTCCTGGGTGAGGGTGGGCGGTGGGCCCGGCATCTGACCATGGGCTTCGGCCTTGGTGTTTATCCACCGAGCTGCTGGGCAGCAGGGCACGGCACATGCTCGCGCCCCTTCATTTAGCTTCTTAGGGCAAATCACTGGTTTCATAAATTACAGCTACCAGCAATTCACCTTTGAGGGAGTCGGTGACATGGGATGTCCATATGCAGGTGCACGTGGTTCCTCAGGCTACCCAGTACCGGATGTGCCCTCCTCAGAGGACCTGGTTTCCAAGCTGCYCCCGCGGGAAGCTTTGCCACCCGCTGTCCAGCACAGTGTCCGTTGGTTGCTTTACACCCCTGTCCTAAGGCAGCCACTTGGCAGGCCTGCCCTGCGTGAGGGTGGTCCTCTGCAGGGGCTGGAAATGCCCCCCAGCAGTCTSGCGGGGTTGGCACTCCAGGAGGCCCTCAGGGGCCTTGCAGTGACTAAGGAGGGCGGGTGGTCCACTCAACACCGGCACCCAAAAGCAGACGGACACTGAGAAGCTTTGCTTTTGTGTTTCAGGTATTTTTTAATAATTACCAACCTGAAGACCGCCCCCAAATGGTTATCTTGCGCCTGTTGCGTTGCATCATCCGCCTGGTGTGGAGGATGCACTGACGGGGTCTCCCGGAGCCGGACACGCGCGGACTCTTCGCTCCCAGGGAGGGCCAAGCCAAGCCCCGCGTCCCCAACCCCGCTGTGCAGCCAGCCCAGCGTTCTTCCCGCGGCGCGGAGGGCGGGACAGCGCAGAAGACCCTGTGTCCCCGGCGGGTGGACTTGACCTTGCATCGTGTGGCTCCGCACTGCGCCTGTGCGTGTCTGTGGAAGTTGCTGTGAATGTAAATGTGGGAGGATTCCTTTTTAATGCAGAAACCGTGGTTCTTGGAGCAGGATTGTCTGCAGAAGGGTGTTTACATGTCGTGGCTTTCCCACCTCCTGCAGTAAGAACAGGTTTTTTTTCACAAAGGAAATGGAAACTTTTTAACCAACTTGTGAATGATTTTTTTTTTGTACTAAAATTTTAAGAACTTATTCCCTATCTCAGAGGATTATCTAAACCTTGCAGTGGAAACTGAGCCAGCTAGTTTATAAAGCTGCCTTAGTTTATTTTTAGAAAATACTGTACAGAATTTTTTAACAGGGAGAGGTGTGATGGGCTCCCTCCTTCCCCTACCGTTGACTTTTGAGATTTCTTTTTTCTTTTTTTGATCATTAAAATCAAAAGTTGTTCTTATAAAATGGAACTGGGCAGGGGGCAAGGGACCTGCTGTCCCTTGGCCGGCCTCACCTGCTTTGTAAATATTTGTTTACTTCCTTCAACTCAGCTGCCTCTGCGGCAACATTTCCGACTATTTTGGTGTGTCTTTCCCGGTCAGTGGTGAGGCAGCCCCAGTCCATCTGGATGCTGATGTGCAGGTTTGGTTCAAGGCGAARCATCATTGGTCAGAGCAGGAGGTGGCACCTGGCCAGTTGGGGGTGCCATGTTGGTCCCCTTGGTTTACAGGGACTTGTCCTGGAGTGTTCTGGAGAGGGAGAGCCGTCCCATGGCCATCCGGCCCAGGGGAGCCACATGCCAATATGCTGCCAGCCTGGCTGCAACTCTGCCTGCTGGCCTCCTCCTGGCCTATGGTACTGCCTCAGTGCCTGCTCCTTCTAGCCTGCCTTGGAAGAGCAGCTTCATTCTGTTTTGCACCGCACCCCCGGGCAGAGTCCAGCGTGTCCCCTGAGCCTTCTGAAAGTTTTGCTTTTCCCGTTTTCTTAGGCCAGTTGGGTCGGTGTCGGTGCACCTGGCCTCCACCTCTGAGGGGCGCGCTCTCTGCCTGCCCCTACTGTCCCCTGGGATCACAGCACATCTGAAGCCATCGGTCAGTCATTTCAGAAGCAGGAAAACCAGGGAGACCCAGGAAAGACCCAAATGGGGTGGGGCTGCAAACCCTGGGATTCTTAAAAGTTTCAAAATCTCAAATCATGAAATAGCTTTTCTAAAAGGAGTGGATGAGTTTTCCAAATACATCAGCAGTGCCAACAGCTCTGGCTCTTGCTTCTGCCAGGTAGAGGACCAGTGTGGTCACATTAAGTGGAAAATCATTCTTCTGTTACTTCCCAGGTTTTTGTGTATGTGTGTAGATATACGTGTACAGACATATATATACATATATATACATATATATATATATATATATATATATATATGTTGCCTATATGCTTTTTTCTTTAAGTAGAGATGATCTGATTCCAAATATTATTCCTTTTAAATCTTGAAAGCTGTGTGGGAGCACAGCTTGTCTCCTGATGTGTCTTGAGCCCCCTGTGGTCACAGGTGCAGCCCACGGTTGCAAGGTGGGGTGGGGATTGCGGCTGCAACCCTGCTGGACGGACACACACACACACACACACACACACACACACACACACACCAAAGATGTATCTGGTTCTGGGCCGCCCGCCTCCCAGGTCTCTGTGCTCATGTGCCAGTCTCTCGGACCGGAGCACTTTATGTCTCCTCAGCCCTGTGGCTCCCTGGGACAGGTGCCCAAGGCGGTACCATCATGCTTGGTGCTAGCCAGGTTACAGCCTGGCCTCCAGGCTGGCAGGAGCAGCTCGGAGGAGAGGCTTCAGCCTGTGCATGGCAAAGGCTACCAGGATGCCAGCACCCGAGCGTGGAGAGATGGCGGAGTCTCTGTACTGTACTGTTGATCAAAACGCCTCCCGCAGGAAGTGTGCCTCCCTGCGTGGGCACGCCTTGGCTTCTTAGTTAATCATTCTTTAATTTTTTTGTAGGAAAAAGTTACCTAGACCCCCCCCTTTTTTTTGAAAATGCGGGTTTTGTGCCTTGATGACCTCTCCCGTGTGAGGTTTGTAAAAAGTGTAAAAAGTGTCCTCTGGCTTCACACTGAAATGCAATAAATAGAAAGATCCCTCTGAGATTCTTCCAGTTCCCGTCCCAGAAATGTGTTGATGAAGAATTGGGGGCGTTAAGAGGGTTGGGAAAAAACAATTTAAAATTCCATAAGTACAGAGAAATGCAGTTTTTTCCTGTTCCCCCTTCTCTGTGTTGTATATATATTGACTATTTATTAGATTAGGTCATATTTTTCTTACCAACTGAGCCAAATGTCTGTGCAATTATGTCCCCTTGACCTTTCTTGTAAATTTTGTACAGTATCAATGAGTAAAGATCACTGTTTTTTCTAAATCTTTTTCAGAATCAAGGATTGTAAATATTGTAGATTCTTTTTCTGTGTTATGCGGCCTACTGTTTTATAATGCTGTAACTTGTAGAAATGTTGTATATTTATTTTCTGCTTATTTAATGTGTTAAGTTTGGAAAGTGTTGACGTCCCTGTCCCCCATACCCTGCCATCCTGGGACTGGGCGCCAGCTCCCAAGGAGGGAGGTGGTGACTGGTGGGCTCTTGCAGACCACGTGGTCTTCCCRGGGTGGCCTCTGGCTTCCGTTCCTGGTGGTCAGCTCTTGGGCCCTGCAGCCTTCGGGTGGAGTTTGCATGTGACACCCAGGAGAAACCAGCAATCTAGCAGTGTACAAAATTCCATTCCAAGAAGCACTCAGCAGCCTCTACCTGTCCAGAGCAGCTGGCTTCTCTCAGGAGCAAATTTGYTAATTCCAGGCCATGGCTTTTAAGATGGAAAAAAAAAAAAAAAAAAGTGTTCTCAGCAGGTGGGCAGGTTTTCCCATTGGAAAGCCTCATCTGACAACTCAGCATTGCYGTGGATAAACTGTGTCCCCTCGAGAGGCACTGCTGACCCAGTTGTCCAGGGCAGGGGCCAGGCGGGACCAAGAGACAGGCCGCTTCGGGGTGCCTCCAGTCACCAGGCCCTTCTTGGCAATTGGTGAGTGAATGGCTCCTCCCCACCTGCACCTGCCCGTGGGTCCTGTGCTGAGGTGTGGATGGACCTTTGTCCTCGGGAGCTAACTGCACCTGGCACTTCACCATCCGGTCACTGCATTTGGTCAGCCTGCTTCTCCAGGTCTCTGCCCTCTTCCCAATTCTCCATCCCCCTTGGGAGAGGTTGGGGACCCGCTGGGCTGGGTGTCAAGATGTGAAAGCTTGTGGATGCTCCAGGGACATCTAGTGACCCCTCAAGGACGGTTCTGCCGTCCCTGTGTGTCGCTAAATCAGCTGGGGTGTGCTGTGTGCGAGAAGCACCCTCGAGCTCACAGCTGAGTAACTTGACTACTTTACCTGGGAATTTCAGACCCTGAGAGCTCTCTTGGGTGCGGGTTCTGTGACCACTCATTACTGTATCGGAACTCATCAGGTACCCATTTATAAATAGCACTGACCTGTCTGTATATTGACCCATCACTAACTCGTCCCCTAGGACCCAGCATATGTAGCATTGTATTGCAATTTCCCTGGCTGACTTGTGTTTTGCACTGATGAATTTTGACAGGGTAATCGCCACTTTACTTGTGCAATACTGCTGTAAATAAGTGCAGATTTTTTTTTAAGAATCTCAATCTTTTATGTTCTTAATGAATTTTATATAAATAAAACTTTCAACTGGTTCTGGTGAGCTGTCTGATGCTTTCACAAAAATGGGGGAGAAACAGCTTAAGTTGATTTTGAGTCGGTTGGTATAACAAACAACAGCTAGTTCTGCCCTGTACTCCAACATGATTCAGCCCTGGGTAGAGGGGCCTGGGGCAGTGGCATGTGTCTGCATCTGACCTGTCCCAGTCGAAGAAAACCTGAAAGACAGAAGTCCCACKCGACCTGAGTAGAAAGGGCTGTCCTGCAGCCCCTGCTCAGAGCCCGGGGGGTCTCAAGTGCCCAGCCCCAGGGTAAAGAGACCACCACCTTCTCACAAAGGAACCTCGGAGCCCCCTGGCCCCAGCTGCAGTGGCTGAATTTGGGAGTGACCAAGAGAACAAAGGCTGATCTTGGGATGTAAGTCATCAGGTTTCCATAAGTCAGTACATGACTTGCCACTTTAACTGAAACAGGTCCTGGGAAAGTGTTGAGCTCTGAAAATAAGAATGTGTTCATGCTTTTCGTTTTAATTAGGCAAGCCATGCATAAATGGTCTTGTCGATAACGCTTATTTTCTTTGAATTATATTTATTTCACATCACCCCAAGCCCACCTCCTCACCAAGGTGGCATTGCACTGTGTGTGTGTGTGTGTGTGTGTGTGTGTGTGTGTGTGTGTGTGTGTGTGGTTTTGCACTTGCTGTAAAAACCATCACCTAGGTGGTTCTGACTCCAGCCATAGATCTTCCTAGAGTGGCCACATTCCAACCGCTGTGTGAGGTGCCAGGTGTAAGGTCTGCTCCGGGGTCTCTCACTCTGCTGGTGGCACAGGGAGGTGGAGGCAGCTTTGGCCACCTGCATACGCTGCCCAGTGGCCACACCACCTGCAGCCACGAGGCAGTCGTGCTGGAGTCAGCCTGGCGGGTGAGCAGGGAGTGGGACTGACTGGTTTAAGTTTGAATGCTGGTAGGACGATCATTCCAGACACTGTTGATAATTCACCTTGTTTTCTGAAGGGCTACATTTACTTTTAATTGAATTTTTCATTTTCCTATTGATGATCAGCTCTTAATATATTTTAGATAGCCAGGCACGGTGGCTCACACTTGTCATCCCAGCAGGTCAGGAGGATTGTGAGTTCAAAACCAGCCCAGCAGGTCAGGAGGATTGTGAGTTCAAAACCAGTCTCACTAAGCCACTTAGTGAGACCCTGTCTCAAAATAAACCTAAAAGGGCTGGGGAAGGGGCTCAGTGGTTAAGCACCCCCGGGTTCAGTCCTGGTATAAAAAAATTTACATATATGTGTGTGTATGTATTTATATATATATGTATATGCATGCATATATGGAGAACAAAAATCTCTTATATACTGGAAATACTTATTCTTCAGTCTGTTGCTTATCCTTTCCTCATGGACATCTGATAATGAAAAKTTTCAGAGAAGTCAAAAGGATTTCCTAGAGAACAACCATGCTCTGACTCCCTAGCTTTGACTTTGAACATTTTATAACAGTAGTATCATCTATCCATCYGTTAATCATCTTATTTTGGGGTGCATTTCAAAGCAGGTTATAGTCATCAATGACCTTGCCCCTAAATGTCCAGCATATCTATAATCTAGAGTCCATCCCTTTTACATTTTTTTCCCTTGCAGATAAAATTTACACACAGTAAAACATACAGATCACGATCATTGTACTGTCTTGTGCTAATAAAAAAAATATATAGATCTGCATTAAGTGTACATTAAGTGCTGAGTTTCAACCAAGGAAAACGACTGTCACCCAACCCCTATCAAGATTGAGAACATTATTGTCCCTCTAGAAAGTTCCCTTCTGCCCCSGGAGTGACATCTGTCCTAAGTTTTTTCTCACCACCACTAGTTTTGCCTGTTTCTGAACTTCCTATGAATGAAGTCAAACACATAAGGCCATGTGCGTCTGGTTTCTTTTGCACAACGTGATGTAAGAGATCATGTTAAAATGGCCATAATTGGTCTACAGACTTATCAATGGACACCTGAGGGTTTAGCAGTGCAGGCAACACTGAATACGCTTCTGTGAATATACACTATTTTTCACAAATGCATATTTTTGTTCTGCATGTCTTTTAATTGCTTGTGATATTTATGCAGAAATTGTCATGTAAGAAGTCAGATTGACCGATCTTGGCTTTAGGTTTCTGTACTTGACACAACTTCTCTAAACCACAGTTTTAAATATATTTTATTCACATAACCCTGCAGTTCGGGACAGTTTTCCTTCATCTTAACCTACCTGGAATTCATTCTGTTAGTGATACACGGTACGAATCCATTGCCACACCTCCCAGAGCCAGCCCAGGCATCTTCCAGCAGCCTGAAATGACCCTCAGATATCTTATTTTTCAAAATTGTCTTGGCCATTGTACATTTTTTTTCTTTCACATGCATTTTAGAATCATTTTAATCTTCTCCAAAGCTCTTTGTGGGCCTTACCTGGGATTACAGTATCACACACTACAGTGTCACATGTATGCAGTAGTACACAGTGACGGCTTACTTGTCTGCTCTTTTTCAAGGTGTGCAGTAGTTTTCATCTACCTAGTGCACTTGATTATTCTTCATAAAATCCTGCACATCTCTCATTAGCCCTTTCCTGGGGGGTGGGATGTCTATCATCTGGCCTCCAACTCTTCTTTCCCCAGATGTCCCTTTATGCACCTGCCACTCAATATCCCCTCTGCCTTTGAAACTCCCTGCTCCGGGTGCCACTGCCTGGAGCCCATCTGAAGCCCTTCCCCAGCACTCTGCATCTGGACCCAGCCAGGCAAGGAGGGCACATCTGGGGGTGGCATCCCCAGCTGCAGAGGCTGTTGGCACTCCCAGGCCACGTGCTCGGCTGCCTGGCCTCAGCAGCTGCTCCAGTTGGTCTGGATCAGCTCCTGCAACATGGCCAGTAAGTTCCAGGTACCGTACTTCCTGCTTAGTGGACTCGTTTCAGACTGGCAGAAGTTTGAGGAACCCTATGTATTCAGAAGCCGGAGTGACAGGCTGATGTTGGAACTCCCCAGTGCCAAGAGCAGAACGGGGCTGTGCAAAGATAGCAAATAACAAGATAAAATGCTGTTTTACCTCGTTGGGTAACTTCTACCACTTGGTCTCCTTTTCTCAGAAACTGACATTTCTGGGAAAGCCCCAAGTCCTTAGAATTTATCACCTTGGAGAAGAGACTTTGGCATGTTGAAGGCACATGTGCCTGAGCAAGTTCCTACTTTATTGTATGTTATCAAAAGGACCC